TGGGGTCGATGTCATGCTCAACGCAGACCACTTCCCAGAACTTGGCGCCGATTTGGTTGCCGCATTGGCCGCCCTGAATGTGAAGAATTTCACGCATTTTTTGGTGTTTGAGAGGAAGAGAGAGAGAGGATTTGAGAGGGTTGAGAGAGGGGAGTTAAGAGAGAGGAGGAGAGGAGAAGAGGGGGGGTTATGTATATATATCATAGTTGTCAAATCGGGATTCGAATCGTGAATCAAAATAGTATTGTACCGAACCACAAATCGAATCGAATAGTGAATCGTAAAGATTCGGTCACCTTTTTTTAATTACATAGAAAATATATCTACACACTTAGATATCTAATAAATATGAAATATTAGACATAAATCACTAAAAATATTGTTTTAAATGATGATCATGTGGTCTAGGTAAGAAGTTAACATTGATTCCCATGTTTACCACTTCACCCTTCCCCTTTTAGATACTATATATTATCAACTGTTCTTAATGAAGAAAGCAAATGAACACAAACTTTCAATTTCCAACAATGTGTTTGGTTTGAGTTTTTTGGATTAAGTTTTTTAAAAACTGAGTTTTTTGGTTTTCATGTTTTTTTATTTTTAATGAATATTTTTAAAATTTCAAACATTTTTTTTACTTTTTTAGATGCACCTTACTTAGATGTATCTAAAAAGTAAAAAATTGTAAAAAAATATTTTAAAAAATTAATAAATGCATAAAAATACAAAAAATGTACTGCATTCTCAAAAAATAAAAAAAAATTGCTTAAAATATTAAAAAAAATTCAGTAAAAACAAAAAAAAAGCACGGAAAACAAGAAAGTAAAATTTTCTGAAAAGTGTTTTTGGAAAACTCTAACTAAGCAAAACTCAACAACAATGTTTTTAATTTTTTACAAGGTTAAAAAACTAAAATCTTCAAACTTTTTCAAAAGTCTCACATGATAACTTCAAAAAATTCATTTTGTAAATGCAAATATTTAGATAAAATTGAATATGTAAGCCTAGAATATTGTAGAGAGAGAGTTCAAGATTCACCAATTCGATTCACCGATTCACCTACGATTCATAACCGATTCACCTACGATTCATAGCCGTTTGCGATTCACACAACCTGTTCGAATCGATTACCCACTGAATCGAATCGAATCATATGATTCGAATCGCGAATCGTATGATTCTAATAACAGAGATATATATATATGTGTGTGTGTGTGTGTGTGTAGAGAGCAATATAGAAATACAGAGATGGAAATCCAGATTGAGAGGGAGAGAGACAAATTTTTTTCATTTGCTCTTGATTGTCATCAGGCTGGTGCATTTTTTTTTTTTCATTTGCTCTTGCCCGGTCAACCGGCCGATCGCCCCCCCGGACAACCAGTGTTTTGATGACAGCTATAAATTCACCATTGGAGTGGCTGACATCAGATAGAGGAATTCGTACTTTTTTTACTCAAATTTGATAAAATATTTGGTGAACCGTTGGAGATGCCCTAAGCATTTCATCTTAGTGATGGTAGAGAAAAATGGAAAGGGATACTAAGAGCTTTGTCCTTCCTTATTGAGAGAGCTTTGTTCCTCCTTCAAAGAGTTTCGGCTCACAAACACAGTGATGACGTAACGGTGCAGTGGGGTAGGTCAGAGTAGACAATTAGACAAATCTGGAGCATTAAATCTCAACCAGGCGTAAGCATTTCATCTTAGTGATGGTGGAGAAAAATGAAAAGGGATACTAAGAGCTTGGTCCTTCCTCATTGAGAGAGCTTTGTTCCCCCTTCAAAGAGAGCATCCTTCAAAGAGTTTCAGCTCACAAACACAGTGATGATGTAACGGTGCAGTGGGGTAGGTCAGAGTAGACAATTAGGCAAATCTGGGCCATTGAATCTCAGCCATTGTTTTTAAATTAGACAAATCTGGACCGTTGCAGAAAGTTTGCAAGAGAGATTTTTAAAAGTAGATCTCAGCCATTGATTTGTGTGTTAAACAGATCTAGACTATTTGTCAAAAAGTGATCAATCCCAACAATTCTGAGGCAGTGGCTCAAGAAACTGAAAATTCAAATCAATTGGTTGTGCATCGTGTGCCAAATGGCAATATGAAGGCAAACCTAGGTGGTCGTCGAGATAGAAATCATGAAGAAGTCAATGAAATGGAGACTGGATCACAGAGTGCAGAAAAAAGCAGACTTCGAGAAGACAAATGGCTGTGCTAAAGAGAGTGAAAAGGAGACAACAATGGAGTTGGAGTTGAATATTGATTTCAAATTATGGTGCATGATGTGTAAAGTTGGGACCACCAGCAAAGCGTTGATGATTGCTCATCAAATGGGAAAGGAGTAAATGACTTTGTTGCAGGAAAATAGTGGCAGTGCACAGCTATAAAAACCATGCCAGAGAAAAATCAGTTTATCAATAGAACCAGTGACGCTACCAAGCGATGACTCCTCCTTTCCCTCATCTTCGGCATCATTGGTTCTATTGATATACTGATTTTTCTCTAGCATTGTTTTTATGGCTATGACACTGCCACCATTTTCCTGCAACAAAGTCATGCGCTCCTTTCCCATCTGATGAGCAGTCATCGACGCTTTACTAGCGGTCCCAACTTTACACGTCATGCACCGGATTTAAAATCAGTATTCAACTCCAACTCTATTGTTGTCTTCTTTTCACTCTCTTCAGCACCACCATTTGTTTTCTCCAAGTCTGATTTTTTCTGCACTTCGTGATCCAGTCTCCATTTCATTGACTTCTCCATGATTTCCATCTCAACGACCACCTACGTTTGGCTTCATATCGCCATTTGGTACACACACAGGCACAACCAATTGATTTGAATTTTCAGTTTCCTGAGCCATTGCCTCTGAATTGATGCCTAGAAATAACCACTGCCTCTGATCTTCTCCACCCACCTAGGGTTTTTTTAAATCAATTTATGCTCTTTCTAACCACGTTTTGGTCATTTTATAATGAAGAGATTTGATTCGATGTGCGTATGCACACAGAAAACCATTTAATCCGTCGGAGTAACAAAACAAGTACAGCGCAGAAGCCCATTGCCTCGTGCCTTGCAAACAAGCAATCACCTCACCTGTGCCTCGCGTTCGTCGCCTCACCTCGCTATGTTTGAAGTGCAGCCTTGCGCCTCTTCGCACCTTGAGCTTGGCATGCGCCTTTTAAAACACTGATTCCACAAATTCTATTTTATGAAATGGTGGACCAAATCATATTGAAAGTGACTCTTTTTCTCCAAATACAAGAGGTTCAAATGTACTAACTTGATTGATCAATAAACATGAACAATATAAAAAGGATTTAAAGCTATGAAGCACGGGTGCGGGTACGAGTACGGTACGGGTACGAGTACGGTACGGGTGCGGGTGCGGGTACGCCAATACGTCAAAACTCAAGAAAAGTATGATACGGGTACGGCTGCGATACGCCGATAATTTTTATTTTTATAATTATAATTATAATTATGGTTAAAGGATCCAAACTACAAAATAAAATTTAATATCAAAACTAAAAAGAGAATTACAAAACTAAATATAATTGTCAAATGGTCATGATTAATATCATTTTAAAAATTAAAAATTAAAATTAAAATAATTAAAAATTAAAAGTTTGATTTATCATTAAAATGAAATTCTAAATTATTATTATTTTTTTATAATTTTTTTTTCCCTTCAAAAGGATAAGTCAGTGTATTCAAAAGGATAAGTCAGTGTATAATTATATTATATTGTATAGAGAGAAGGATAAGTCAGTGTATTCAAAAGGATAAGTCAGTGTATAATTATATTATATTGTATAGAGAGAAGGATAAGTCAGTGTATTTCATTCTCTCTCTCTCTCTCTCAGCAAATTAACCCAACGCAGCAGCACCGAACCATTCTGAGCGAGCACTTCGTCCTCCCCCTCTTCCTTCCTTTCCACGACTCACTGTTCACCCTCGAAATCTTTCACTCCAAACCCTCCGAGACCCCCAAGCCCTTAGTCGACTCCCTTCGTCTCGCTGTCAAGGAACTCACTGGCTAGGATGAGGATTTCGAATGAAGAACTGCGATTGAAGATTACGATGCTCTCCAATAAACCTAGGTCTGTATATATTTTTAATATTACAAAATAACTCTCTATTTTTTGTTTTTTTTAATAAAGAACATAAATAAATTGCTCTGATACTCCTCAATCTCTTTACAATTTGATTTTTTGCCCCGGCGTACCCGAAACGTACCCACAGCGTACCCTTCCGTACCCACGGCGTACCCATGCCATACCCAAATGTACCAAACGTACCGGACCTCTTTGGCCGTACCCGGTACGCGTGCAGCCGTACCGATACGCGTACCCGTACCTGGTACGTACCCGGTACTCGTACGACATCATTTTTGGAGTACCCGTGCTTCGTAGATTTAAAGCTTAGCAGAAACCCTATTTCCCAAACTGCAAAAGGTTCAAAACATAACTACATCCTACAAATGCTTCAATTGGTTGAAAACAACAATAGTTAAAACAATAGTAAAGGCTGAAGATCTTATATCACTGGTATCAAAAACATTGGTGGTGTTTGGGAACTTGGTTCCCAGATTTTTTTCTCATTTTTTCCACTAAAAGACAAAGGTTTTGCAAAACCAAAAAAAACAAATCCAAACAAAATATCACATCCAACCCCATAATCATTTCACTTTTTCTCTCACAAACATCACATCCAACCACAAAAAAACCCAACTATCTTCCCAAACACCAAAAATTTTTTATCTCATAACATTATTCAAGGCTTCTTTATCATAGCATTCATCAAACATTACAGATAAACATGCAAATGTATAAGCATAAAATCAGAAAAAACAAGCAGAATTTGTTTTTTTCATACAGTAGTACTCATCTTAACCTTACCTAATTAGCAATAGACCAAAATTATGAAACTCCAAAACTGTAACAAATTGCAAAAATCGTTTTAACTAATTGATAATTCAATATGAATAAAGAAGTTTCACTAACCTGGGCCTTGTTAAGAAGCATGCCAGAGCTAATCCGAACTTTGCCCTCTACACTCTTGCCTGATTCAATGTCAGCCACCATGGACTTCTTTAGCTTGTCTTTGGCCTACTCACATTTTCCAAAATCAGATAATGTACTAACTTTAAGTAATTAAATACACTTTTTCCCCAACCCTCTTTAGTAGCTGAGATAAAGAGGGGAAGAAAATAACAAGAAAAATGATAGAAAATTGTTTTTTTTAAGGTCAAGAATTTTAATTTATTCTATTTTCCTACATTTTCCCAGCAACCAAACAGAGGATAAACTTTGTAATTAAATCAATGAACAGAGGTAAAATCTAACCAGTTGAACAAGATGATCACACTCTTCATGGATACCTCTGTTCATGGATTTCAATCTAATCACCGATCTTTTTCTGAAAAACAACAAAAACAGCTATGATCTATGATCTTCAATAGAGATTTAATGATATATAAGAGAGAGATTTGTGTATATATACGTGTTGTCACTGAACCATCCATGTAACCAATGAGAAGAAGAAAGCACGAGATCAAGGAAGAAAGAGAGGAGACAGAGAGAAAAGGGTCAATTTAGGTAGCTCCTCTTAGAATCTGGGGTACGATGAGAAGAACTTGGACAAGACCCAACTGCTGTGCCATCAGCTTTGTAGCTCAGACATGCAGGATGAAGCACACCAATTGGGCTTTGGGGCACAGATGGGGCTGAACTACTTGGACCCTTCATGAACCCACTTGCCAATGATGACTCATTGATTAGTTCAACACATTTGATCACTCTCTCCTGCATAACACAAATAAAAAAAATTAAAAAACTATATGTTAATTGGGAAAAAAAAAATTTGTGGGTAATCAAAACACAAATGATTTGATTAAAAAGGTAAAATCATGATTAATATCACCAACTTTACCTTTTTACATGTTGAATGAGGAGAAATTTCTTTCTCAGTGTCCACTGTTTGAGTTTCTCTTGCAGCAGATATTGTCACTACTGCTGCAACCTCAGAAGGCCTGAACTCTCCGCATTGAATTCCCACAGCACGGATACAGATACGGGATATGGATATGATACGATATGGATACAGCGATACGGAAAAATTTGAAAAACTAAGATACGGGTACGGTAGGGATACGTTCGTAAAAAATATTATTTTTACAATTTTTAGTAATGCAGTATGCATAAAAATAAAACCTAAAGCAAAAGACAACTTGATAAAGAAGAAAGATTCCTATAAAACTAAGAGTCTTCAAGGTCAATAGCTTCACCTTGTTCCCCTTCATCAGTGAATATCACAGGACCTTAGCTAAAGCCAAAAAACCATTCTTAAATAAAAATTTCAGCAAATATACTTTTTTAAGTCATCAATTATAACCTAGGAAGCACGAATACAGATATGGATATGGCGATATGAGGATATGGATATAACGATACGTCAAAATTTGACAAAGCATGATACAGGTACGGTAGGGATACGTTCGTTAAAAAAAATATTTTTATAATTTTAATAATGTAATATGCATGAAAATAAAACTTAAAGTAAATTAATAAATAAAGAGAGGGATTCCTATTAACCTAAAAGTCTTCAAACATCCAAAACTAAAAGCAAAAGTAAATGCAAATTAAACATCATTCTTACATGCCAACACCAAAAAAAGAATAAGAGCACAGAGAAGAAACGTGAGAGAGTAAGAAAGCGAGAGAGAAGTGAGAGAGACAATAAGGATACATCAATTTGACAAATTCTATTAACTCTCACTATATTCCTCTTATCAAAGAACTAAACAAAATATTACAAGTAATATGTAACTTCGAGTATCCGATACTTCAAAATTAAGTATCCGATACTTCAAAATAAATAAAAAATTAATTAAGAAGTATCCGATACTTTTAAGAAGTATCCGATACGTATCCGCGAGTATCCAAAGAGTATCGGTATCCGATAAGTATTCGATACGGATACGTCTCCCTTTTTGAAGTATCCGTGCTTCATAACACACTATCATTAGTCAAGCTTGAAATGATTGTACATTCTTTATAAAATGTACAACTATTTAAAATTTCATTATTCAACAGTGATTGAGAATTTACCTTTTATTATGCTCAATATGAGTTGGGTTGATCTAAAAATTGAAGATCTTGGCAAAACTTTATCAGCATTGATCTTTCTAAGGAAATTGTCTATGAAAGAGAATGGGGGGACTGCTTGCATACTCCACTTCAATGTGCTCAAGACAGAAGCTCCATTTTCTGTATGGTTCTAGTTTCAAACACAATTTTAGACACACCCACCTGTCACATTCCTCATTATGATATTAGAACATTTGGATCTACAAACAATAACAAAAGACACATGAAGATCTGATCTACAACACAACTAAATAAAAAAAAAAACTCTACAAATAAACATAAGCTGTGTTTGGTTAAGTGTTCCAAACACATTTCCACCTATTGATTTGAGTGTGGTGTTTGTTTTGAGCTTTCAAATTATAATTTCACACCCACTTTTGAAAACTCCTTTCCAGGAGGGAAAATTTGGCTAACCCGGTCATCCTCCCGGACGTCCGGCCAGTTGATCAAAACAGTATTTGTTTTTTTTTTTTTCGCACCTGTTATTTTTATATTGTAAATAAAAAATATTTTCGAAATTTTTTTTATTTTTTATATGAGCTTTAAATAGAATTTTGGGTTGTGTATTTAGTTATGAGTTGTAAATTTTTGAATCAAATAACTTTTATAATTTCAAAAACTCAAAACTCAATTCAAAACTCCTTTCAAAACTCATAACCAAACAAAATTTTCACACTCAAATCATAATTCCAAAACTCACAAACTCAAAATACAACTATATTCTCAAATCATATTTAAAAAACTCCACCAAACACTACCATAGTTTCTACAAATAAAATAACAAAAACTCATCAAAATAGTTTCCCCAAAATGTCATCTTATGTAACAATTAAAAAAATTCACTTATTTTTTAACAAATTCTCAGTAACCAAACAGAGATGAAGTTTAAGAAATGAACCACAACAAGATACAGATCAAATCAAACCAATCAAATAAGATAAAATACCAAAAAAAAACCATCAAAACAATTGATCCAAAATGTCAACTTATGTTACAATTTCAATATTTCATTTCCCCCACAAATTCTCAGTAACCAAACATGGACAAACTTTATGAAATGAACCACAATACTATAAAGATCAAATCAAACCCATCATTAAATCCATTAGCAAAATTACATATATATGTGGGATTAACAAAACCAGAAAAACCCATCAAAATAATTTCTCCAACTGTCATCTTATGTAACTATTTCAAAATTTCAATTCTTTTCCCACAAATTCTCAGTGACCCATCAAAATACACGCACACACACACATACACATATATGTAGAATTAACAAAACCAGAAACGAAATCCATAGCTTGCAAAGTGGGTGTCGGGCAAACAAACCCATCATTCACAAGCGAAAGGTTGGAAGGCATAGGAGCACCATTCAACCCAACACCGAACTGGGTACCCACCAAATCGATCTGCGCCGACGTCTGAGTCATATCTCCGGCGGTCTCAAAGGCAGTCTTGAGATCCGTGCTCGGGCACCCAGCAAAAAGGGTATCGTTTCTAGGTCCGGCGGGGAGGCTAGTCCCGTCGGCCAGCACAGCATTGGAAGCAGCGACTAAGTACTCGTTGTGTTGAAACCCAACGAAGACTTGCCATGATTTGAGATCGTCGAGACCGTTGTTGACAATGGTGAGAGTGGATTGGAATTTGTAGGGTTAGTGGGTGGGATCGGAGGTGAGAGTGGTAGGGAGCTGAGCTCCGGCGGTGTAGGTGTAGGAGTGGGAAAGGAAGATGCCATTGCAGGCATGGGAGAAGATGTGGAGAGTTGTTGGGGCTATGTTCTCTCTCTCTGCATTTGATTTTCAAAATTTGAATTTAGAGAGAGAAGGAGGTTTGATCTGCGTCGATGTTTCCAAAGTCATCACCGAAGCAATGGACCCAATAAATAAGGTTATATGGGGGTGTTTGGGAGGGAAAAAAAAAAAAAATTTAATTTAGGCTAAAATTTACAAAAAGATAAAATAAGTTAAAATAGTTAATAAGATAAAATATTACATCAAATCCATAATCATTTCATTTTTTCTCTCACAAACATCACATCCAACTATAAAAAAATCTAATCATCTTCTTAAACACAAAAATTTTAGCTTACTAAAATAGCCAAAAACTAAAATAGCCTACTAAAATAGTAACTTCCCAAACGAAACCATGCTCTGGTTGGTATATATATTAGTGTATCAACTAGTTTTGTGATATAATTTTAAAAATTTTGAATATTTATAATTTGTATAATATTAATTGATACATTAGTATGTGTGGGGATATATTTTCTGAATACCAGCATGTGACATGGTGACGCCGACGTGTCAGCCGAGGTGCCATGTGTCGTGGTAGATAGGCCGAGATGATCTCGGAGTTGCCGAGGTTATCTCCGAAGATATCGGAATCCGAGATAAGCGAATAAGTGACAAGAGTCCTAAGACGAAGAGGGGACTTAACCAAGATAAGGATAAAGCTCTTAGGGAGTTTATCTTTATCTCTTAACAAGCAAACTTAAGTAAAAAAGAATTTTTAGAATCTTATAAAACATGATTTAATAGTGGTGCGGGTCGGTTCGGTTTAGAAGAAAAATAGAAACCGGCGGATTGATAAAAGTGTCACTAGAATTTGCCATTTTTCTTATAAAAAACCGGCGGTTTGATTGACAAATAATAACGAATTTGCCTTGGCGGTGCGGTTCGGTGCGGTTTTGGCGGTTTCGGCGGTATTATGCACACCCCTATTTACAACCATGCTTTCAACATTTGTGTGTTTATTCCGTGTGAAAATTGAAAAGTCTTAAAAACATGGTTACAAAATACGTTTTTAATTAATAAAGCGCGGTTACGAAAAACACTTTTAATTAAAAAAAATTTCTTCTGAAATTGCTGTTCTAAACCACACTTTTAACTTAAATTTTTTTTCTTCTGAAATCGTGGTTATGAACCACGCTTTTAGCTTAAATTTTTTTTCTTTTGAAAACGTGGTTATGAACCACGTTTTTTGGCAAAAAAAAATTTCTTGTGAAAGCGTGTTTGTAAACCACGCTTTTTACATAAATACACTAATTATTTAGTTTCAGTTTAACTGAATTCTGAAGAAGAAATTTTTTTTTTTGGTTTTTTTTTATTTCTGTTGTCATTGTTTTGGTAATAATGTATTTCAGAATAATTTTTTTGGTTAAAATTGTTTTACTAAAGCCGTTCTCATGTTAATTTTTTTTTTCTTTTGTCTTTATTTTGGGTTAGAAAGTGTAATTCAGAATTTTTTTTTGGCTTTATTAAAGTAAAATTATTTTGTTTTTCCTTGTGTTTGTTTTAGGTTAGAAGGTGATAATATAATTCATAAATTTTTTGAGCTTTAGTAAAGCCGTTTTGATGTAAATTTTTATTTTATTTTATTTTCTATTTGTTTTGGGTTAGAAGGTGTTATTCAGTAATTTGTTTGGGCTTTAATAAAGTCGTTTTCATTTAAATATATATATTTTTTTCTTTTGTCTTTGTTTTGGGTTAGAAGGTGATAATGTAATTCAGAAATTTCTTTTCGCTTTACTAAAGCCGTTTTCATGTAAAAAATTTTATTTTTATTTTTTCTCGTCTTTGTTTTGGGTTAGAAGGTGTTATTCAGAAATTTGTTTTGGCTTTACTAAAGCTGTTTTCATTTAAATAAATTTTTTTTTCCTGTTGTCTTTATTTTGGGTTAGAAGGTGATAATGTAATTCAGAAAACCTTGAGAAAAAAACACATAAGTCTCCCATAAAAATACATAGGTAGTACAGACATAAGTCTCCGACAACAATACATTCTGGACACCATGAACTAAACACACAATATATACATAAACATAACAGTTAGACAGACAAATATTAGTCAGACAATCTGACAAACTCATTACGGAAACACTTAGTCTAACACAGACATTATATATTAATGCATGACCTAATATTGTCGAAGTGTAGACATTAACACCTAATTCGTGCTTAAATCGGTAGGTGGCTCAGAGTCTGAATAATCCGAAAGCTCAGCGTCAGAGACAAGCTCAGGATCCTCCATGATACCCTTGATAGCTGCAACATTTGGTTATGTTCTGTTCTGTTCTTCTAGGCATCCTTCTTAATTATGTATAGCTGCATATCGCGGGCTAACCTACGGCGCATTTGAGAAATCTCACGTTGTAGTCTTTCACATAGTCGATCAACATTATCAGGATCTTCCTTTTGGATCTCAACAGAACGTGCTTTTGGCACCTTCAGTCGATTTTCCCGACATAATCTTTCCATTTGCACTCGCTCTATAATTAGTGCGGGCCACTTCAGAAGTCTAGCGTCTGCTAAACAATATCCTGTTTGATTATCTGATGGATCCATACATGAACCTCCTTGGACTGGATAATACTTGGGCATCAACAAATGTTGCTTCCCAAACCTATCACGATAACCACAAGCATAATCTAAAACAGGTATTCCCACTCCCTCCCATGAATCGTCTTCAGCATCGCCACGTCCCCTTCCCCCTCCTCGTCGTGAACTGCCACCCCTTTGCAAGTTCCTACCACCTCTGCGATTCCCACTCCCTCCCATGAACCATGTAGCCATGCTAATTTTTTAAAACAAATGAATGATAAATTCGTAGGGTGAAATGAATTGTAAGGTTGTGTCTTCACCTTTAGTCGTTTATATAGTTGGTTATGAACAGCTTTAGAAAAATGCCCCTGCATGACAATCCCACATATACGAACAAGGTATGAGTTGTCACTAGAATGAAAAAACAGAGAAAAGCAAATACTGTGTACCAAGTCACGTGACTTGACAATCCATCTGCATATACTGACAAAGTAAGGGCATGCTCACTGTAAGGTAAATAAGTTAATTCACTGTTGGCATGTGACTTTCTGAATTGAGAATCACTGTAGTAAAAAAATCAAGCAAAAAATCGATAAAACCAAAGCCTGTGCACCAAGTCACATGACTTGACAATCCATCTGCATATACCGACAAAATAAGGGCATGCTCATTGTAAGGTAAATCAGTGAATTCACTGTTGCCATGTGACTTTATGAATTAAGAATCCCACATATATTAATAAGAGATAAGTTGTCACTGTAATAAAAAAATCAAACAAAAAATCGAGAAAACCAAAGCTTGTGCACCAAGTCACATGACTTGACAATCCATCTGCAT